GGAGGGGGGGAGGTGGCTTCTGCCATAAGAACTGCAAGTGGGATTCGTCAGCAGGTTGCTGCGGGGCCGAGCGCCAGCGCAGGGAAGGCGAGACGGGAGGCTACAGGCGGGCAGCCACCCTGGGGGGACAACGAAGCCCGGGCAAGGGGGACGGCCCTGTGCACTGAGAATGGTGCTGCGGGTCCCAGCATTGTCCCTGGGATGGGGGCACCTCTCTGGTTGCACGTCACCCCATGCTGCTGTGCTGGACTCGGGCCATGGCTGGATGCTTGCTGAGCCCCCACCCCACCGTGGGTCGGCATCAGCCCCCTGGGGCTGGCGGGGGGGCCCTCAGCAGAGCGCCCTGCACCCGCTGCCCCCTCCGCTGGGCCCCTCAGCTGCTCAGGAATGAACTGGCGCCTGCCCACCGGCTGCTCTCCTGGTATGTGTGGCCGGAGCCGCGAATGCTGTGCCTTGGCCTCCTCCCTGGCCTGGCCGGGGCTGGCCCCCTCCCAGGGTGTCCCCCCCCCAGCCCTGCCATCCCTCTCGCCTCTTCCCATTAAGGCAGCACAGGCAGCTGAGCTTCGGTGCCGGAGGAAAACAGGTGCCGGAGCCAAGAGCAATGGAGCCGAGTGGAGGGTGGGGAGGTGCAGGGGGAAGCACAAAAAGTGCACACGCACCCCACCCCCCCCGCCTGCATGGCAGTACCCCTTGCCGGCATTTCCTTCCATCCCCTCCTTGGGAGCATGGAGAACGCCCCTCTGCAGGTGACACTGGTGTGCCCACCTCCACTTCACTGCCTGTTCCCAGCCCTAGGGACACTGAGCGGGAGAGAAGGGGTGGCAGGAGCAGCCCTGCGCCCACATTTCTCCTCTCCCAGTCCTTGCTGCAGAGCTGGGCTGCAGCCAGCGCTTCTATTTTAAGCCCCACAGTGCGGATGAGGAGGCGAGGGGTGTGCGCGGCCAAGCCTTGCAGCCTGCTGGGGAGAGGCCCTGCTACCCATGGCCCCAGAAACTTCCCCTTCTCCCCCTGGGGCTGGTGCACACTTGGGAACAGTCTGGGCCAGTTGCTCTTTCCCCTTCCCAGCGCAGGCAGGAACCGGGGCAGCTGAAGCCGGCATAGCCCAGTGAAGTTATTGCAAAATATCTAGGATGCAGGAAGCCCTAGGGGTCCGTCCACATTTCCCCAGCCTTCTCTATGGCACGTAGCATCCGCCTGCTGTGACCTGGGCCGGCGGCCATCCTGCGAGAGAGGAAGGGCAGGCCTGGCTGTGCAGGCAGGAAGATTTGCTCTGCAGGCAGCGGTTTTCCTGCTGAGCTCCCTGTGGCAGGGAAAAGGGGCCCAGGTGCCCTGTGGGATTAGCTGGGCTGGGTGCAGGCACAGAGGAACCACGGGACAAAGCATCCTTGTGAAAGACACGAGGCGGCTCAGGGTTATCCCTCAGTAGGACCAAAACCTGCTGCAGGGGCCACCCTCATCTGAAGCTCCCCCCCCCCCCCCCCCACCAGCAAACCCCCCCCTAGCGGGAACCACCAGCAGACAGCAGAGCGCTGCTGGAGGAAAAAGCTCCCAGAATAAGCGTCTGTTTTTATTAAAAAACAACCAACCACCCCTGCTTGTGCTGCGTGTCAGTGAGATGCCTGGGGAGCCGGCGGCACCCAGGGAGAGCACCCGGCAGGTGGGCAGGATGGGTGCTCAGCGCCAGGCTGAGGCTGGCAGGGGCTGGGGGACAGTGCAGCCCTGGGGCCAGCTGGAGCGGAGCCGCTTGCCGCCGCTTGCCGCAGCCTCTCTCCCTCGGGGAGGTGGCAAGTGGTGAGCTGGTGCTGGGAGCAGAGGCTGGGCCAGGACAGCACCCAAGAGAAGGATAAAGGGCAGGCTGGGGCTTTTCTCCCCCCTCAGCTGGGTCTCACTCCTTCTTCCCAAAGAACTTCTTGAAGACAGATTTGTTCTTGGGGCGAGGAGGGCCGGGGGTCTTCTCCCCCTGTGTGTCCCGCGGGCTCCCCGGCTGGGCCACGAAGGAGTGGCAGCGTGCCCGCGGCACAGCCGGCGCTTGCTCCCCAATGTACAGTGTGACCGAGTAGCTGCTCCCAGCCTCCACCGGCTCCTTGGGCACGGCCACTGGCGTGATCTTCTGGTAGGTGGCTGCAAGGGGGAGCAGTCAGTGGGGAGGGCAGGTCACCAGTGGGCGCTGCCAGCCCCCCAGAGCCCTCCCCGAGTGGGGGGCTGCAGCCCAGGGCGCAGGGATGTGGGACCGGGTGGGTGCTGGAGCAGCATCGCACCTGCCCTTGGGTGTCTGTGGGGACAGGGGCAGTGGTGCCACCTCCTGGCAGTGAGAGTGAAACCAGGGTTGTACCTGAGGTGAAGGAGTAGGACCTCCTCTTGTTGGCCACCAGCCCGTAGTCATCTTCTTGGCAGCTGTTGTCCCACAGCCCGGGGGACCCCCTGGTCCACTGCTGCTCCCTGTGCCCGGCCCCATGAGCATCCTCTGAAGCAGAATGGAGACATGTCACAAGGCAAGGCCACCACAGGACATCCCTGTGTCAGCCCCAAAGAGGACAGGGAAATGTGTGGCTATCCCAGTATCCCCGGAAGTGAAGGGAGGTAACTGGTCCTTCCCCCAACCCCATTCATGGGCAAGGGGTGCCGGGACTGCTGGCCCAGTCCCCCCCGAGTTCAAGACTGACTGACAGCCTCCAGCTTCCCCCAGTCAGCTCCCTTGCACCTCTCTGGGCTGGGGAGAGGACTCCGGGGACAGCAGGAGCCCAGCCAGGCAAGAAAGTCACCTGCTGCTGCCACAGCCCCATCGGCTGGGCCATCCTGGCTGCCCAGAGGCTGCTGCGGCCGGGCATTTGGGCGGGGTAGCACCATGATCTCCTGGCTCTTGGCAGTTGTGACCTGATGATGTCCCTGGAGGTGGGAGCTCCCAGGGCTGGGGACCTTGCTGAAGCTGGAAAATAGCAGAGATTTAATGAACTAGACTGGCCCACTGATGCCCTGCTGGAGCAGCACACACCAGCAAGCATGGGAGAGAGTTGTAATAATGAGACCCAGCTCCTGGCTACTCACCCCCCAGCACCGCCAGTGCCCTCGACACGTTGTGCTGCTGCTTGGAAGTAATCCACTTCAGGGAAACCTGGGGGCACAGCAAACATCCTGCTGGGTGCTCTAGGCACACAGGCCTGTCCCGTGAAGCCAGCCGCAGCCCTGGCTGGCCAAGCCGCCCGGATGCCCGTGCTTCAGGGCTGGCCCCTCTGACCTCCTGCTGTAGCGCCTGCTCTTGGTCCTGCCAACCAGCCTAGGATTTCATGGCAGCACTGTACCAGCTACTAGGAAGGAAATTAACTCTATCCCTACCGAAACCAGGACAGCCCCCTCGGGTATGGGTACAGCAGCGGGAAGACCTCAGTGTTACAGATCTCCTTGCCTGGAGGGCTGGCAAGGGGTTTCCAGGCCCCGCAGAGGAGGTGGAGAAAGACCGAGGTGTAATTATAATTTTCCTGACACTGGCTTTTTGCTGCTGAGGCTCCACTGACGTCAGTCGTGCTATTCCTGATTTATAACTGTGTATGTGGTGTGAAAACAAAGCCTCCAAATCCTGCCTGGCAGAGAACTGCCATTCCTGAGGCAGGTTAGGAGGATGCATAAATCAGAGACAACGCTATGCTGCTTCTCTTCTGACCCCCCTGTGTATCAGAGGGCTCGGTGGGGGCTGCACGCCAGTGGTAGCTGCATATAGCCGGGCCCCTGTTCTGCCAGCAAGGGCTGCTCACCTGAGTTTTGCTGCAGCTTGGAGACCCATTCATTCATGAGGGGCTGGGAGGGGGCCCTCAGGAGGTACTCGGAGCCATCCCGCAGCCTGGGAGGGAGGAGAACAAGTCAGCAACAAGACAGACGTGGGGTGCAGATACCACAGCCCCCGCCAGCCTGAGAAAGAAGGGAAGCAGGTGAGAAAGAAAGGAAGAAATCCTTATCTAGGAACCGGACCAAGCTGGCCCTGGCTGGAGGTGTTGGTGTGCAGGGACACATTAGGGAGGGCTGTGGCTATGAGGGGTGACTCACTGTAGCCTGAAGCAGTTGGTCTTCTTGGTGTATTCCGTGTCCGGGGTGCAGACCGCCCCAGAGAGGTTCAGGGGAAGGGCCACCACGGAGCTCTGTAGCACAGGGAACAGCAAGAGCAACAGTGGGGTTGGCAGGCGCTGCCCTCCCCTGCTGCGGGGGCGAGGACACCCCACTTCCAGCCCCCCCACCCTGCTGCCAGCCCGCTCTAGTGCTCCCCCTTCTCCCGTGGTGCTGTGCCACCCTGCTCTCCCCCACTGCACCTTGATGCTGTCCCTGCGGTCCTGGTAGAAGCACAGCGTCTGCCTCATCAGCACGGCGTGGAAGAGGCCCCAGGCACGGCAGTTGGCCTGTGGGATGCAAGCAGGGGACAGCTGTGATGCCAATGGGTTTGGGAGAAGACAAGCGGTCCCCTGCAACTCAAAATGTCCCCCAGACCCAGTGGGCTCTGCCCTCTCAGCACGGCCAGCAGCACTGCCACGGTTGTGCCAGGAGCATCCCTGGCTTCGCTTCTGCCCTGAAACCTGGACCTGCCCCCATGTCCCAGCACCCCAGTCCCAAAGGAGCCCCGCAGCCATGCCCGTACCTTCCTCCCTCCTGTCTGCAACACGTGCTTCCTCTCCAGCGTTCCCTCCATCATCTGAAACTCCGTTTTACCAGGGGGGGCCTGCAAGGGGACAGGAGGTGAGTGAAGCAGCACTGGGGCCGGTGGTGCCAGCTCAGCCCCGGGGCACGCAGGGTCCATCTGACCCATCCCTAGCGGGTGATGCCAAGGTGGGAATGGGACAACAGGAACAATTTTCTGGCCTGGGCAGGGACTGGGCTGTTTGTCGGCTTTTGGGGTGAAGTGCTGCCTTGTTAAGGCTGAGGGCTGGTGGGAGATTGCCATTCAGCACCTAGCTCTTCCCCACCCCTCCCAGCTGGAGCAAAGGGGCCACCCGAGTCGAGGAGTCCCCAAACACAGGTCACATTTGCTGGAGCGGGTAACCCAGCTGCTGCCTGGGGTGTCCCCCAACCCCCTGCCTGACCCTAAGGGAAAGGCCCCAGCCCGCAGCTCTCACCTTGCTGCCCTCTCTTTCCTCTTCCCCATGCCTCCACCGATCCCAGGCACCCAGGCCATCCAAAGGGGCTGCGGACACTGGCTCCTCTGTGCGGGGGGACACCCTGTGCCCGCTAGGGCTGCCACCGTCGCTGTGCCCCACACTGGGGCTCTTCTCTCCTGCTGGGCTGTGGAGGAGCCGGGCGGCAGTGGGAAGGGTGAATTTGGCCACCAGCACGTTGTTGGCCGCTGAGAGGATGAGGGGCCCACCGGCGGTGGCATCGGGACTGGGTAGGCTGCCCGCTCCGCTCCCTGGCCCATGGCAGGCACGGCTGCCGGCCGGCGGGCTGGGTGCCTGCCGCTCGCCCACCCCGTCCTCCTCTTCCTCAAACTGCCCGTGGACAGGGTGGCAAACCTCCCTGGCGCCCGGCACAGGGCTGTGGCGTTGTGGGGACCCCAGCGCCCACTCGAAGACAGAGAGCTGGGTGGGGGCGGTGGGGGAAGCTGGGGACGCACCGGGCCGGCTGCTGCCAGCTGGCTGCTGTGTGCAGGCAGTGCCGGGGACAGCTCCTGCCCTGCCTGGAATGCTGGCCGGGGATGGCCCGAGCTCCAGCCGAGTGGCTTCGCGATGCCTGGCCCTGCCAGTGGCACCGGGGCTGCCACCCTGGCCCAGCCGGGAGGCCAGCTCGTCCCCCTCCCAGCCGACCCGCTCGTGTGGCACACCAACGTGGGACAGCCGGCTTGGCCTGAAGTCCAGGAGGTCTTCACTGGCGCTGCTGGGGTGCCGTGGGCTCCAGCGCTCCTCCCCGGTGCGGTGTGCCCTTTGCTGGCTGTAGCTGGGGTTGAAGCTCACCTCCTCGAACCACGTTCCTCGCTCGCTCTTGGGGTACATCTCCAGCCCCTCACTGGGACCCTGGGGACTGTGCCCATCCACATCTACCTCCTCCTGCCAGCCAGCCCCATGCGGGCCTGTGGGCTCCCATGGCCTCACCCCCCTGCCCTGCCTCTGTTCCTGCCTCTCTGCCTCCTCCTGCTGCGCCGCGGGCCCTTGGTGGCACCCCAGGACTGCTGCGTCCCGGGGCAGCTCCAGGCTGAGCACGGAGCCCAGGGAAAGGTGGGGGCACGTGGTTTTTGGGTCGGGGAGGCAGGGGTTCCGGGGGGCCGCCCCGCACTCAGCGTCGATGTCCCGCACCAGCGGGTTCCTGACGTAGAGCAGCAGCTCTCCAAGCGGGGGTCCAGCGGTGGCCGCCCCTGGCCCCCCCTTCCTTCGGCCGCACTTCTGAGGCCACGTGTTGCTGGGGCCGTGGCGCTCCTCGGGCGCGGGCTGCAGGGAGCTGGCACCCATGATGCCCTGCAGCGTCAGCAGCCGGGCCTGCTCAGCCCTCGCCCGCTCCCGCCGCTGCAGGCTGGCGGTCAGC